CCCCCCCGCCCCCGGTCTTCTTGACTCTCTCTTGACACCGGGTCCGGGAAGGGCAAGAGAATGGAGTGCGGTAGATGCTGCGCAAGTCCACATTCTCTATAAACTAAATCATGCGCAGGTCACCGTGCCTGCCTTACGCTGCTGTGGAGCATACGGTGGACATAGTCGGATTCGACGGTCGAAAGATAATATGCAGGAATGTTTGCTCTAAGGCACTCCGAAGGGCAATAACTCAAGTATATGGCTCTGGAGTTGAAGTCCACATTGACGAAACGCTCATGATTATGCGTAAGTATAATAAAAGTACGAGAAGACGACAACACTAAATTGCAGGGATGCATGGCATAAGACAAAAGAAAGTCGTATTTAAATAGGTTGATGGTAGAACTTGGCCGTCACGCAGAGCGGGCATAACTTGGTGGATTACACAGGGCGGCATAACTGTTATGAGCGAATGGAAGGCGTATGCTCGCTCATCCTCTAAAGGTTACCAGCACTACACTATAAATCACTCAGTGAATTTCATAAACCCCACGACCGGAAAGCACACAGACTAATCAATGACTATTGATATCACTGAGGCAATGAAAATTTTATGGAAAGTCGGAGGGGAACTATACCGGCAGCTAACCTAATCGGTCTGTAAGCCCTAGCTGAATGCTGACAACAAAGGACAACAACCCATAACTGTAGAAAGCGACCCTAGCTAAAGTAATATCATTGGTGCCTTTAGGTTTAAAAAAAACGAAGAACAGGGTGATCCCGGTGCGGCTGTATATGAGGGTAAACGGTGAACTACGTAAGTGTACGACGGCAGTAACCAAGCAGAAGGTGTACAGTATCACGGAGTATAGCAAGGCCAGCAAGGAAGAACTGAGAAGTAAATGACCCGTAAAGGGAGCTTTACCATGGAGAAGCGTGACCATGATGTATGTTTAACACATCCCCCAAGTTATGGAGATGTGCAAAGAAGACGAGCGGCAAACTAATGAACCCGTAAGATTATCGGCTCTAACTGGGTAAAGGTATGCAAATTAAAATCATGCCAAGTTTGGGCAGAAGCAACGGTAAACATGTAGCGCAGCCGTATATAGCAGGAAAAGCAACCTAGGAATTTGGAGTAAACGACGCAGACACGAACACAGTAATGCAGTCTGTATGGGGAAAGAATTTGTGGAGTCTCTGGTTAATATGTGGGCTCCCAGTATCACGCACGAATAGTAATATTGTCGGCCGTGAGAAATGCCGCAGAGCATATTAAGATTCGGAAGTCGAAGCATTGAACTCAAAACGAAGACGGTCACGAAGACCATAGCCAACCGGTCTACATATATGCTTAACAGTTCAGACAAACCCATCGACAAAACCACCTAAACTAATAGCTAATCTGCAAGCGTATCTCCTAACCCTGGGAGCAGCTCTAACAATATCCCAACACAAAACCTAACCATAAGTGGTTTTTTAAGACACTGCGAAATTTTAACATCCGCCAATACGCCTACCGAAAATGATATCAGTAGCGATTCAATAAAGTAATAACCAAGTGCGGCCGCGGTTGCCCTCGTCACCCATCCCGGGTGAGGCCCTTCGCAAATAATTTTAGTATCCTCCAGTATAAGGGAACTGTCTAAATTTAAAGCTCACGGGTCATCAAAGCTCAGACCCGAGCGTACAATTCCGCCAAAAATGTTTGGCCCAACACTGATACGGCCATTTTTACCGTAGCATATTTAGTATGTTGGTTTACGTCAATTGAAGTTTGTTGACTTAAAGGCGAGCTTCGAACTTTACAAAAACGATGTTATGCAATAACAGTGGCGTTGTTTAGGAAAATATGCTAGGAATTTCCCTCCTTTGGACTGAGGATGGTAAAACTCCCAAAGCCGCGTCAAAGTAAATGCTGCGGCTTTGGTGCAAAAGCGCCACCAGTACCAGTCTAGTGGTATTATTTTTAAATCCTTTTTTACACAAGAAAAGTGAAGCTCCTGAGAAAGCAGCTCTAAACGAGACACAAAGTGCAGGTAAGGTCTAATTTTATCACGGATAGCCAAAACAGATTATTGTGTTCCACAGGATTTTCTCCGTTCGATCTGAGACACGAAGTCTCGACTCCAAGATTGGGGTCCCATCCCTCGTGCGTCGTCAGAACATCCCTGACTCCCCGTCCCTCCCAAAGGGTTGGGGAAATCGATTGCTAAATTTTTGTCAGGCACTCGGGCATGACGAAATTCAGAAGTCAGCTATTCAATTACACATTTCTCTGACCCACTTGCCTTAGCAAATCAGCTCACTAGTCCGTTTGGATTGTGCGATGATATTCCAGTCTTATAACCTACCGCCGAAGTGGATGATATAACGTTTGCATACTAACCGACAATCGGAGCTAATCGACGAACGTTACATGTCATCATGAGCACGTATTTCGTGGCCACTTAACATAGGCGTAAATGATGACAACACAACCCGGTCGCCGATAAAAGCGAGTAGGCGAGTCCCATGAAGCAGTTCAGAAGAAGAAGAAGAAGAAGAAGAAGAAAAAAAAAAAGAAGAAGAAGAAGAAGAAGAAGAAGAAGAAGCGATCGCTGGAACAAGAAATTCACTAGTGTGACGTTTCGGATCCTCACTCCAACCCATCATCAGATGGAGTCGCAGTACTCGCTTCGTATTATTCCGCCTTCTGCACACTTTAAATTTGAGGCTACCACAGTACTTGCGGCAGACGAGGACATCAAGGAAGGCTTGCTGGTTGTTTCCTTCCTCCACATAAAATTCACGATAGAGAGGAAGAAAACAACCAACTAGCCTTCCTTGATGTCCTCGTCTGAAGCAAGGACTGTGGTGGCCTCAAATCTAAAGGGTCCAGGAGAATGGAATAATACGACACAAGTACTGAGTTTCAGCGGACACCACCAAATCGACCACAAACGCAGTTGCGCGAGGGTGCTATACCGGTGTGTCGAAACGCATTGCAGTGGGCCGAGGGACAAGGTTGTCGAATCACACTATTTTCAAGGGGTCCTTAGAGCGAATGGTTATCCGCACAACTTCGTCAGCCAATGCATGCGTAAGAGAGACGAGCGACAAAATTCAACAGGCTCCGAATTTTTGTGAATATTCTCGTACATGAAGAGCGTCTCGAAAGCCGTCAGCCGCCTTCACACATCATTCGGGGTTGGAGTTGCACACAAACCAGAGGCAACCACCAAAGGCCACTTCATGAGACCGAAAGACCCACTGCCACGGTCGGAAACCTCTGGAGTCGTGTACCGGATCTGGTGCAGTTGCGGACAAAACAACAACGTCGGAGAAACTGGGAGATTACTCCGAACGCGAATAGCCAAACATGCATCAGCAGTGAGAAGGAATGACGCTAGCCCCTAGATCGCAGTTCATTCGATGCGACCCGGGCGCACCTTCAAGTTTGACGAGGTCGAAATTCTCGCAAGAAGTGACAACCGCATGAGCTGCCAGCTGCTTAAGCCATGGTTCTCCAGCCCTCAACCAGTTTACAAGCGCAATGACCTCTTACATCCATATTCTGTGTTGCGATTTTGCCATGGCCACACGGGAAGGATGCGGACGAACAGCAAGCCAACTTTCTAGGTAATACTCAACGGGGATGAAATCACGACCATTAACGAGTTTATTGAAGAACGAAAAGCAATCAACGCATTAAGTAGGACCCCCAGCGATAAACGCAAGCGCTGTTTGTCATTGTAGGCATGTGACGGCCTGGCAACTGCGTCCCATAAACTCTATACCCATGTCTCCATCAGCATGATCCGCGACTAACTCCGATGGCGGGTTGAAGGGAGAATCCGGAACGTCCGGCTAATAAACTTGCCTCAGTGATCGCACTTTCCTCTTCTGAACAACTCGGTTGGTCAAACCCCGTCTTGTTATTTCAATTGGTCTTCAGAATAGAGAACGATCAGGCAGTCTAGGCTAAGTTCCCCCATCTTTGTGTGTCGCATTAGTAACAGAAACTTTGCATGAGTGGAAACGATGGTTAGAAAAGGTAAAACACATACCACATTTGCATTCAGGTGGAAGCAGAGTGCCAAAATAGAGCCAACGAGGCAAGGGGGGACCTTCGGACTGACAAGCCACCCGCGCAGAGAATTATGTAGGTGGCGTCGTCCAAATTCATCAGAAAGGTCCAGAGATTTGCAGAACTCGAAAACGTGTTCAAGCACGCACTCGGCCTCTATTGTGTTCTCATTGTAATCCACGTCATTGCACATCAATTCCAGCAGACTATTGACGCGTCTAAAAAGCAGGTACAGGAGCCTAAGTATGTTGTTCCTGATATCGGACAAATTTGAAAACATCACAGGTCCCTCAGAACTCCCGAACTCGACCAAGATACTACGAAAGAAAGCCACAAACCATGAGTTCCAATGCTGATTAGTGGTTGCTCAAGGACCTGATTCTTAAGCCCCCACTCGTGTCGGCAGGTTCTACTTCAGGAGTATTGTACATGTATTTTTTGCTTGGCGCTAAGAGACCTACCAGCTCTAATGTTAATCTGCCTTTGTGACATCACCTGGAAAAGAAGGAATGTCGCTCCTTTACGAGAGCCCAAAACCTTATCATAGATGACAATTTGAGCAGTCTGAGTAAGACTATTTCCGTTTTGAAATATGAGACTTTTGGATTTTTCCCAAGGCTGCACGAGGACGAATGTCTCTAATAGTGATAAATATAAGGCTCAGCCAATGCCATGGAAGAACAAAAAGCGATTTATAGGCAGAATGGCATTACCGACAAAGACAAGGGAGGCTGGAATGGCCATTTCTGGATTATTAGCCGTCGTCAGCCAGTCATACCCAACCCCCCCGAAGTGTGGAACACCCGAGGCTCCAACTCGCGACCTGTTAGTTAGAGATCCAACGCCTCTAACTACTGGGCCACGAGCCCGTTGCCCTGTCGGTTTCGATCGGAAATATACAATATACAAGGCGATTTGTGAGTCAAACGGCTTACGCCCGACATTTAAAACCTACGCGTAAGTCCACCGTCAGGGGAAAAGTATGGCGTACAGTCAAATTAAAGTCCAAACTTGTCTCCGCCAGAATTAACTCCATATTTGATTGTTAGGTCAGAAGACTTGCTGTCCCTGGTGATTGATCAGTCTTCATCTCTGGGGCATAATTCTACTTTCGATGGAGCGGCGATTTCGAACCAAGCGACTGTCCAGATCTCACCGAAACTGCAGTAAACATGACCTTCATGCTGTAAATTAGTCCACAGACATGTCGGTCTGACACCCTGAGAGTACAAAGTAACAGTCCTGTCAAAGACCACTCTTGACGAAGCTGAGTTGGAATCTAATTGGGCTGCTCATTTGCACCTGGTCATGACGATGGATACAACCGAGAGTTCAGAAGACGAAGATGCGATCACTGGAACAAGAAATTTATTGGCCTGACGTTTCGGATTCTCACTCGAATCGAGAGTTTGAACCGAGGGTTTGAAACGTGAGACAAATGTGCAGTTGGATCCAGGAATTGCCTTCCCCTCATCTTCTGCAGATGTGTATAAGCGGAACGTTCCTCAATTCGGTAGTGCGCATGAATCAGCGACTCCGTAAAAAGGAGCTCAGCTCAGCTCGCCACATCAATCAGTTTTTGGCTATTTGTTATGTTTCAGCCCTAAACCAGTCTCTTTCTCTAACCAGCGATGCGTCTGGGACTCAGATGTCCGACTCTAATTGTGAAGAGGATTCCTTTTTTGCTTCCAGACATCCGTTGTATTGTCTTTTATTGTCCCTCTGTCTCAGTCCTTTCCAATCGATACCAATCTCCAAAGGCTATTTTCGGTGGACGGGTAGATTACTGGATAAACCCTTTACGACGCGGAGCCTACTTCTGATTTAACAGCAGCAAAGTTTCTTCGACAAAACGGTCAAACATCTGAGATTTAAATCCTTAAGTCCCTTCCTGGCTGTTTTTTGGTCAAGATACAGCATTGAAGATATACCTCACTTGCTCAGTAGATTCTCATATTCAGACTGCTAGTGGACCTCTTTAGTGTAATTAAAATCTTCGAATCTTATACTGCGTCACAGCGTTTGGAGTATGTTTGTCAACCGTGTAAATTCTATCAGAATGGAGCACCTTCTCCAAATTTTCAATGGAATCAAACTTTTTTGTCTCCCGCCTATTGTAGACCAAAGTCAAACTAGACGACTTCGAAAACGACACGTTCCGAGTCAGCGGCTGAAATTTGGACGGTTCATAAATCCCCGATCCAACGACAGACAGACTATTCATATTGACCCAACTGTGAAGAACTCGGCGCCTTGCTGGGATTCGAACCCACGACAGTAAGGTGAAGGCTTTAGTACAGCGAACGCTTTAACCACCCGAGCTACGAGGCCCCGCCGGACGACGCGAGTTTTATCACAGGCTATTAGCATGGGGAGGTGGGGACACAACCGGGGGGGGAGACTGAAAAGGGAGTGAAATACGAGGTACGTTGGCGAAGAGAAAAAACAAAGGATGCCAAAAACTAGAACCAGACACCACGCTTAACAACATGGTTCTGCGAACTTCATCCCGAACATTAATATAGCTATTGCCTCCATGAGGACGAAACTGTAACCCCATACGTGCCAATCCGGCTACGGTATGAACCGGAATTCACTCAACGTCGCCCGGAATCTGTTAATATGCTATCAAATCACAACTTAATATTATTGTTTTCCCCTGCGTCCACATCATCGCTTAAGTATTTTGAATACCCTCATTATTTCTAGACGACTTCTCATAACCCCGCTTACTAATATTATAGTGAATAGCACAAGGTAGTTTCCTCTACATAACTGGTCAGCCTTCTTGAGATTTAGCTTCTAAGTATCGGGAACGTTCAGAAAACTGGTGTTTATGGAATTTCTCGTAATGAAGGCGAAATTTCGAGTTCCAGGTGTATGCATAAGTGAACAAGAAGAAGAAGAAGAAGGAGAAGAAGAAGAAGAAGAAGAAGAAGAAGAAGAAGAAGAAAAAGAAAAAGAAGAAGAAGAAGAAGAAGAAGAAGAAGAAGAAGAAGAAGAAAAAGAAGAAGAAGAAGAAGAAGAAGAAGAAGAAGAAGAAGAAGAAGAAGAAGAAGAAGAAGAAAAAGGAGGAGGGTTCGAGCACCACAACATTCCTCGTAACGTTCGCACAAATACGTTTGTAGTGTCTAGTTAGTTAGTTAGTTAGTTTTCGGGGCCTGCTGCCGAGATAGGTCAAGCATTCAACATTTAGTTCATCATTCTATGAATTCCAGGATGCCTATTCATAGCAAAAAGAGGAGTAGTAGGAAACTTGCTTCGGAAAATATACCCGTAGAAAGTAGGCAAAAAAACTTCGTAGAATGGCATTGCCGACAAAGACAGGGGAGACTAGAATGGCCATTTCTGGATTATTAGCCGTCGTCAGCCAGTCATACCCAACTCCCCCGAAGTGTGGAACACCGAGGCTTGAACTTGCGGCCTGTTATTTAGAGAGCCAACGCCTCTAACTACTGGGCCACGAGCCCGTTGCCCTGTCGGTTTTTCAATCGGGAATATACAATGGTAGGGGGCGCTCATCGATCGTTCTTACGGAACTCACTCGTTCCGTTGTGCCTTACGGAAAAGGGAGAAATTAGGCTGATTTATGACGTCCCAAATTAGCACTTAGAACTGCCGTCAGCAGTGTGGATAGCACAGAAGTGCATCAATATTAAATACACAATTTGGTATTCTAAAGACAGTAAGGCAAATGTCCATATGCGGAAATATCTTCCAGCTGCGATGCCCGCATGTCCGGGAAGATGAGGCGCTGCCAACACTCAACTGTCCATTGTTCTGAAGTTTGGAAAACACGCAAACTTCCACCCTCTGATGATATGGTAACACACCTCTCACAGCTGTTGAGGTTGGCTCTGGCTATAGCGGCCGTGTGATTTTTTACCGTAATGACAACGCAGGCATGATATCATGCGCCGCTGGGCGGCTGCTGGTTGGGCTCGAGAGAGAGCCCGTAAGGCAAAACGGAACGAATGACTTCCGTATGAACAATCGGTGAGCGCCCCCTACCACCAAAAAACTTCGTTTCCGAAATGATAGCAAATGCAGAACTGTCTTTCAGGAAAAGTACTTCGTCTCTCCAAATATCAAATGCCAAAGACACAGGATCCTACAATAAGTTATGATGACTCAAATCCCGTCCTATCATTATGAAAATAAGTAATTGACCTCAGACAAGCAAAGACACTAATAAAGAAAACGCATGTACCTAAACTACTTAGTAAGAGATTCATTTGTCATCGAGAAAAACACAGGCCGCTGGACCACAAAAGAACACAAAAAAACATTTCTATTTGGATCAAATTGGCGAAACTTTATATGTACGCAGCAGGGGAATCCCATGCGCAGGTATCTGCCAACAATTCAAGATTAAGGACTTGACTATGGATCATAGGAAAAGTCAACGCGACGCCAAAAACCGTGTGATAACTAACTCCAGAGCGTGAAAGAAGTTAGCGTCAAATGCTTTACTACAGTTGGTCAAGGACACTTCAACTACACAATTTCACTTAGTACTAACGAATACGAAACAAATGAGTACACAGTTCGGCCTCTCATTCACCATACCCATTTGACAAAATTTGCAATCCTAACGGCCCCTTTCGGAATGAAAATAGCTGTGACTACCAGTTACGCTGGTGAGGTCCCGGCAATCCTCATTTCGTTATGTTCGCCCAGAGAAAAGCATATGTTGAGGACTTTAGAGATCCAAGGCAAAACGGGGCGTCCCTATTCAGGCCTGGTAGCGGAATAGATGAGGGAACGTAAATTTGAAGGTGCTTTAAATATTCAAGATCTCGGTCGACACCACATACGGTCAAAGCTCAATCGTACGTCGCTTAACTCAGTAATCAAGGAGTTCGGTGTCTCACCTGCACGGGGTTATAGTATGGATGGCCGAGGACATTAAATAAGTTAACAATGGTCATTTGCGTCTTCTTTTTGATTGTCGTTTACGTTCCTCTGCTACTGAGGCCCTCATTCACCTAGTAACGCCGAGCAAAAATTGTAGTCCATATTCACAAGCACACATTAATCCTGTCCACAGTCCACAAGTTCATCATCCATGTAACTGTGTTGGCCTGATGATGAATACCGAAAACATACGCTTGCCAATTGACTTTTCAATTGGGTGGTATACTGAGAAAATAGCGATTCCACTAGTAGCCATTCGTCTGTAATATGAAGCTGCGTTGGCGGCCCCACCGATGACAACAAAGCAGCCTTCTACCGTAGTCGCCGCCTTGTGCAACAGCGGCTCGCAAGGCCGAGGAGATCCAAGGATACGCGGATCGCAACCAATGGAAGAACTTCTTCTCCACAATCAAGGTTGTCTACGGTCCGCAAACCAAAGCCACTGATCCTCGTCTCAGCGCCGACGGCAGTACCCTGCTCGCTGAGAAGACAAAAATTCCACAGCGATGGACCGAGCACTTCAGAGGTGTCCTCAACCGTCTCTTCACAATCTCCGACGCCGCCGCCGTTTGCCCCAATTAGAGACCGACGCCGACCTCGACCTCCCGCCCTCTCTCCGAGAAACCGTTAGGGCCGTGCAGCAGCTCTCCAGTAGGAAAGCGCTCGGATAGGACACGGTCCCTGCTGAGATTTACAAGCGCGGTGGACCCGAACCTATAGATCATCTGACGGCGCTCTTCCAGGAGATGTGGCGCCAAGGAGAAGTCCGCAAGATTTCAAAAGGAAAGGGAACCGCCAGCTCTGCGCCAACCATCGCGGAATCTCCTTGCTGAATATCGCCAGGAAGCTCTTCGCTCGCATTCTCCTGAATCGCCTGAACCACCATCTGGAATAAAGTCTCCTGCCGGAAAACCAGTGCAGCTTCCGTCGTCATCGTGGGACCACCGACATGATCTTCGCTACCCGTCAATTGCAGGAAAAGTGTCAGGAGATGCGGATCGACCTCTACTCTACTTTCGTGGGTCTGACGAAAGCCTTCAACACGGTGAATCGCGGAAGGCTGTGGAAGATCATGCAGAAATCCGGCTGTCCCGAGCGATTCACTCAGATGATGCGTCAGCCCCGCGATGGCATCGCGTGCGTTCACAACTACCGTCCATGAACTTCTCTTCGCCGACGACTGCGCTCTCAATGCCATCTCCTAAGGGGACATGAAATGGAGCACGGACCTCCTCGCCGTCGCCTGCGACAACTTCAGCCTGGTCATCAACACGGAGAAAACAGTGGTTATGCATCAAACGCCACCCGACGCTGCCCACGTCGCACCCAAATCAACGTGAATGATCCCCAGCAGTAAGTCGTTGACAACTTCACCTACTAACAGAAGCGAAGAGGCGAGTTCCAAAGTGTAGTCGCGAAGAAGGAGACACGATCGCTGGAACAAGAGCTTTATTAGCCAGACGTTTCGGATTCTCACTCGAATCCATCATCAGAGACAGAGTCCGATAAGGGTGGTAAGTTGCCCAGGTGTTCTAGTATTTATAGGATGTAGTTGCTAGGCTGCTACATGTCTATCGCAGTTGGCAGCTCCCGAGACCCGAAAGACGCATTGCCACGGCAAGAAACACCTAAAGTCGTTTACCTTGTCTGGTGCAGCTGTGGGCAAAGCAACTATGTTGGAGAAACCGGAAGACTACTGCGGACGCGAATGGCCGAGCACGCAGCAGCGGTGAGGAGGAAAGACGCCAGCTCCCAAGTCGCGGCTCACTCGACGGGACCCAATCACACATTCAAGTTTGACGACGCAGAAATTCTTGCAAGAGGTGACAACCGCGTGAGCCGCGAACTGCATAAGTCATGGTTTCCTGCTCCTCAATCAGTTAACAAGCGCAACGACCTCCCCGCTCCATAATCAATTGGATTGACTACATCATCATATCTTCCTCCACCTACACCACGCAACATTATCATCCGCCACAAGCATTCAATTGCCACTTCCCACGCAAGTGGGAAGTGTGCGTCTCGGCTCCGTCTCCACGCGGCCGCTCTGCTGCACGTGTAATTTGTGTATGAGGCTATCACGGCGTGTTAAGCGCTGTGGCCTGAAAGGCTTCTGACCGACGCCCCAACTTAGTCCACGCAGTCTGCTCAGTTGTGTGTGTATGCGTGGAGTGGCGGACTTGTGGGCTGACAACTAGTCTGAAGCACCTCCTTCTTAACGTGACCCACGGCACTCTCACGCATGTGAGATGTACGCCATCCAACCCCCGTCGTGTGAAATCCTGATGTTTGTGTTTGGGGGACCGGGTAGTGCGCGTGGCACGCGCAGACAAGGTCACTCGATATGTCAGCCACAGCGCCCATTCCCCGCTGCAGTCAGCTGACCGGCTCGGACAGGGGCTGAGGTGTGAAAAGGGGAAGAGAGAGTGAGGTCCACGACTCAACGCATTTTCCTCCTCGCTATAAACAATCTGAGGTGACTGAAGCTATCACGGTGCGCTAGAAGCCGTGTCTTGGAAGGTTGCCAATTGACGGGATAACTTGGGCCTCGCAGTCGGCCGAGTGCTGTTTGTTTGTGAGGAGTGGCCGGCTGCTGGTCTAAGTGTCAGGCCGCAATGGCTCCTTCTTAATGTGGCCTTTATTGCACTCCCACTCCGTGGGATCCGAGCTGGATGTGGGCGGCACGCCTAGGTGCGGCTTCGGCCGTGCCAGCCTTCACTCTCTTTGTTGTTGTTGATTAAAATCCTGGTCTTTTGCTGTATGGACCACGTCGGGTGTGGAGTGAAGCATCAAGGTGCGGGCTCGACCTTGCTATCCACCTGCGACCTCCCCCACCTCCGGTTCTCTTGACTCTGTCTTGACATCGGGTCTAGGTGGGGGAGGAGAGAGTATGGTAGACGCAGCGCACGTCTACATTCAGCATAAATTAAATCACGCGCAAGTCACCGTGTCTGCCTCACCTTGTTGTGGAGAACACGGTGGATATGGTCGGCAACAACGGTCGAACTTTCGCCCACCTCCCTGTTAGCTACGCCAAGTACAGGGAACCGACAATTGGCGATGTGCATGGATTTGGTGGTAAAAATTGTCCCCTTATTGATTTACTTTGTAACGATGCGTACTCGAACCGACCAGCAACTCCATTCATGAATCAGGGACTTTTTGGACAAACCGCACATTAACGTCCACTTGCTCTTGCTCGGCTTGGGTTTGTCTGCGGTCGCATCAGGCGTGACTGTCCGTAGGCGACTGCACTAACTGAGCAGCGTTTGTCCGACTTGATATGCTACAGCTGATGAAAGCTATTCCGGTGTGCCTAGCCTCGAGTGTCTTCGTGGTTGTTTGATCGTTCCTTCGGTCTAGAATTTTGGTTTCCTGAAAAGTATGTGTGTACAGTGTTTTGCCAGGAGCGAGATCTGCTCTATTGCCCTGTTGACCTTGCGTTTTCACCTGTACAGCTCTGAAATCGTGGTGCAAAGAGTGTTCAATGAGGAGATACACCTTGTAGGAGTCCCGGGTGGTTTCAGAGCCTGGTGCACATGGTGGTCACTCCGCATAGTCCTTAACTGACGGCCATTTTTCATCAACGGAGCTGCGATCTGCTTATTAGTCACATCCCGGTACCCGCCCGTGACCAGCGGGATAAATCAGAAGGGGTGTCCGGTGCGTGTGTTCTCACACAGTAGTACCCTCCCCTGTCCAATCCTTTCACCTCCTCGGGGGGAGGGGGCCAGAAAATGTCTTTTAAAAACTTGCTGATAAAGCATGTCGTCGGCAAACTGACCGTGTGCCCGTGTCCAAAGCGAGAAACCCCAGATTTCGTAACAGCCATCTGGCCAGGTTTATTGTTAGTGAGTCTAGCAATGACAGAGTTAGCCGGAGAGGAGACAGTGGTTCCGTATATTTTGAGTAGCTCGTAGAACCTTGCTGTAGTCGTATCTTTTGGCCTAACACCGAGTCTTTCCAACTTGATGACTTATTTTCTTATCTGCCGGTCGGCGAGTCATCATCATCCTCATCAATTCCCCGTCGCATCGGAGGTACGCGCGTCGATCCTCCAACAAGGTCTTGAACTCCTGAATGTAGTCCGCGCTACGCAGTACGGAATGTCCCTTGCACCAGCTCTTGAAAGCATCCTGCCCCCACCCCCCTGCAATGATAGCGCGTGGTTTGTGTATTGTAGTTGGAATCAAATATATCTGGTCAATTATGACGCCACACGAGTTAATAAATCTATTCCTCACACGAGGCAAGTTGCCGTGAGTTGGCAGTTTGC